AGAGAGAGAGAGAGAGAGAGAGAGAGAGAGAGAGAGAGAGAGAGAGAGAGAGAGAGAGAGAGAGAGAGAGAGAGAGAGAGATCAAAACGAGGGGAGGGCATTACTGCGAAGGGGCGCGAGCTGAGGAACGAGCGCTTCCTGTTGGTTGGAGTGTATTCACGTCGAGTACGTTCTATTCTCTTCTCTTCTCTTCTTTTGTCTTCTGGTCGCATGTCCTTCCTCCTCTTTTTTCTCATTCTTCTCTTTCTTCTCTCTCTTCTCTCATTCTTCTCTTGTGCCATATTGGCTTCCGTTTTCCACATGCAGAACGGTCAATGCACTGGTTGTGAGTTCAAATCCTCACGATTAGAAGAATGCATCGGTGCAGCGATAGGGAGGGAAAGAAACGAACGTCATCAAGAAACTTATCTTTTTTGGGATTAAGTTTTTTTTCTTTTTTTTTCCCCTGTCTTTACTCCAATCTCCTTTTTTTTTTTTTTTTTTTTGGTTTTTTTTTTCCGTTGGCTGATCATCGACTGACCTTCCACCCCAGTCAGCTTAGCCGTTTGGTTGAGCGTGCAAGTCCCATGTGGGAGGTCGCGTGTTCGATTCTTGAGATCGGATCAAGGACGAAAAATGCAATTGCCGAACACTTGTTTCCTTACACGAAAGAAAAAAAAATGCCATTTGTAAACCTTGTGTTCAACAGACTGAATAAATAATTCAATAAAAAAATATTTATGGAATAAAAAATTCAATTCCTCTCTTATCGGCTGCGGCGACAGGGAAGCAAGACACGTCATATAGAAACTCAATCTGTATTTTCGGCTTCTTTTTTTTTTTCTTCTCAAATCTTTTCTGTTTTTTTTTTCCCTTGTCTGTATCCCGATCACGATTTATTATTTTTTCATTTTAAATTTGTTTGTCCTTGGCTGAAAGGCGCTGGGTTCCGTATGTTTTATTCTCTTTTTCTCTTCTTATGCTAAAGCGGAGAGAGATGGGGAGGTGTTTCTCCACATCGGGATCTGTACGAAGGACTTGGCAAGAGAGAAAGGAAGAGAAAACACTAATCACTAATTCTTGAGCTCTTCTGCTTTGAATTCCATCAACCGTCACGTCAATGCAGCAGATATAGTATTAACGCGTCTGGTTGCCCTTTCCTTTTCTGTTTTTTTTTTTTTTTTTTTTTTCTGTCTTTTTTTTTTTTTTTTTTTTTTTCAAACCTTTTTTTTTTGTCTCGTTTCAATTCCTGGGATTCTTGTGTATTTCACATTATCCAAAAATCAGAATGCTTCCCGCGATTCTGGATCAGAATCACAATCCTTCCCGCGTTAATTACTAGTAATATCAGAATGCTTCCCGCGTTTATAGATCGGAATCAGAATTCTTCCCGCGTTAATTAATATAAGAATGCTTCCCGCGTTAATTAATATAAGAATGCTTCCCGCGTTAATTAATATAAGAAAAGAATTCTTCCTGCGTTAATTAATATAATAATGCTTCCCGCGTTGATTCATATAAGAATGCTTCCCGTGTGTCGAAGTTGGAAGGGGATGAAAGCGGAAGTGGAGGAAAGGGGAGTGGTCGAAAGGGGAAATTGGGGGTTGGGAGGGGAGATGGGGGGTGGGAGGG